AGTACTGTCTCATGTAAGTCGCTAACAACATTGGGTTCTGTGAGATCCATATTTCATCCAAGTTGTTTGCCATCCCAATCGCCATAAGTCTTGCACAGCGTTCAGTCGGCATTACTGGAAAGTCTATCTTGATAAACTCTGGTGAGTCTTTGTACTCCTTAAATAGCACAAACATTTAACAAGGGAGATACTTTTAGAGCAAGAAAACACTTTATATCATACATCTGACAATGCACTCCCCTACAAATAATCCTAACTTGCGAAAAAATTTTGTCGGCAACTCGTTAAAAAATTATATTCATGACACTATATTGGAAGCAGATGGTACCAAAGTCTGGGATGAGTTACACCCCTGGCTCCCCCCCCCCCAAACAATTAGTACAACACCACATTATCTGCATACTGTGGTAATGTGGTGCACCCCAGAGGAGGGTCCAGAAAGTCCAGACTCCTTCACCTTACTGTGTTCTTTCACAATTAGTCTAGAACAAAATTTTTTGCAAAGATAGGATCACCCATTACAACTCAAGTCCTGAAGTATTAAAACTTCCCTTTTCATGAAATATCATGAAGATTATTGAGGCTTTAGAGCAATAATAATAATAATAATAATAATAATTTTAATACTTTTAATGTGCATACATCCATTTACACATGCTCACACACGCCCAAACAAACAAACAAACATTTCAAACACACATTAGGTGATTGAAAATCCCTACTGGCAGGAGGCAGATCAGTTGGCTATTTACACTGAAGAGTTGAACTTGGGGTGACCAAGAACAAATATCGTGTAGCAGGAAGGAGGGCTTAAACCCACAACTACCAGATTACAAGTCCAGCACCCTAACCACTCAGCCGTGCTGCCTTATTTTACTAAGTAAAATGTGTTCTGTGTTTGAATCTGAATCAAAGCCTAGACCCTTAGCAAATATTTCTAGATCCACCCATGTGTAGAGCAAGCCTCTACATGTCCAACACAAAATTAATCTGTTTCCTTACAATGTTGATGTCCTCTGTAAAAGCCTTATTAGCAACTTGCGACTCCACTGGCCCTGGAAGGACAGTCTGTACATGGATGTTGTGCTGTGCCAGCTCAATACGTACCCCATCAAAGTAACCCTGTTAAATGAGAAGGGTTTGGTCACACTAGTTCTATAAAATACAAAACTGTAGCAAAATTTTTAAGAAGTGATTGGTTACCAGCAGTCCAATTGGAGCACTACTGATAAATATGTTCTTATTGACATAGCAAGAGCGCTGAACAAGAAATATTTTGTTTGAGGTCATGACACATAGACCATGTGCAGGGAAGTCCATATTGACCATGACCAAGAGCCATTTATTTTGCTGTACTACCCAACCTGATTCAGTCCATTAAAATTTTATCATAAGACTGCTACTCTTTCTTTTTCATCTTCTCTCCTTTCAGCATGCAACAAGCAGGGCTGGACAGATATCACTAGCCCTGAGCACAATATTGCATGCATTCCTTGTGTGGGGAATTTTGATGTAGTGATTTTCAATTAAAATGTACAGAATAAATATAGCTATGGAACAGCTCCTTTCACATAACTTTTTGAAACTTCAACTTCAACCTACAGTCTAAACACAGCATCAACATTTCTCTTATTGCATTTTCCCACATTAGCAAAGTTTAAATTACACCAAAATAAATTCAAGTCTAATGAATACCTGCAAGGCATGTTTTGTGGCACAATACACCACTGAATGAGGAACTCCTGTGAAATCAAACAAAAAATTGTTGTTTTTATTTATTCATCGAATATTATGTTCACAAGATTGCCAAAGATGCCAGCATTCTGAGCATTTCACTGTCTGAAAAACTCACTGGATATTCTGAATGCTTGGGGGCCTTAGCAGGCAAAATTTACCAATCTGTCCTAAGATGCTAGTAACTACATGTAACAAAATCTGTCTTTCTCTGTGTTCCACTTGTTGGAAAATATCCACTCTAATTGCAATAAAATTTACCCATCTTTCCCAAGACACTGCTAACCACCACAATCTGTCCTTGTTTCCATTCAATCATATGTGGAAGAACTGCTTTGGTCAAAGAGATGGTACCAAAAACATTTAAATCAAAAACAGCCTTGTCCACCTCTAATGGAGTTTTTCTTATCCAAGATTTCTGGAAACGGCCTCCATTGTTAACCAAAATATCAACCTAGAAAATGAAAGAGAGGAGACTAACATGGTTGGGAGGGGGAAGGTGACTGGGAATAAGGCAAAGCTTACCCTTTTTTGCTGACTTTAGATGTAAGTTAAATCAAACATGTTACATATTGGAGGGGGGGGGAGGGGGGCAGCAGGGCATTAGACATGTGGTAGGGGGCTCACTTCACACCAACCAAATGAATTTGTGACAAGGAATAAGGAGGCAGTTGCTCAAAACAATCCTCAGACCTTTATTTTAGCTGAGTGTAATACTAATGAGATGATCTGGAAAAGGATCACCATGCTCATTATTTTACCATGCCACTTTAATGCTGTGTTAGTTTGTGTTATTTTCATCATCAAACATCAGTGGGGAGGGACATGCGTATCTAAATTTTATTACTTAAGAGCTACAGGCCTCCCTCCCACTGTTCCGCCTAATAAAATCTGCAAACTTACATGACAAACCCATTTCATACCTTTCCAAAATGCTTAAGGACATCTTGAGTCAAATTGCCATGAGTGTCATGTTTTAGCAAATCTAGTGGAAGTACCAGAATATCTTGATCTTTTTCAAATGAAGAATTAAGACCAGTCGCAATTGCTGAAAAAAAAAATGAAAAATCACTTAATCTCTCAACTAAAGATTTAATTGAACGACTGGCCTAAATAACTACCCATTTGTGCAATACTTTACTGAAGCCGGGAATTAAAACTTTGACGAAAATCTTCTATACAGTTAAGCTACAGATAAAATTGGCAAAACAGCTAGGGTATGCTAATAAACTTAGTATCATTTTACTATAAGTCACGAAATAAAACTCACGATCATCTGGAAGGTTAACGTAACATAGCACTCGCGTCCGCTAAAAAGGCTTTTTGTAGGGAAGAAAGGCTGGGTAAGGGGGAGGCGGCGGCTTTGCGTGACACCCCCAAACTGCTGCGAAGAAAACTTTACTACTTGGAAACACGAAATCGGAAATACATGTAACACTTCTACATTGGGAGCTTTGAACGAGGTTTTGAAATGCGTGAATAAGACAAAAAAACACACTAACTTACATCTGTATTAGGACCTTACACACGTGCACATAGCACAAAAAGAGGAAGGCGATCGACCGCTGTCAGTGCTTTGTCATTGTCACACAAAACGTGGTGACAGTATTTGTTTTCTTGTTCTCGATTATCTCCGTTCAACTCGATTTGGTGCCAATTTCTCTCTTACCTGCACAGTTTTCCTTAACTCTCTCCAACTTTGTTTTCCTCCGTGCAGAAAGAACTAGTTTACAGCCGTATTTAGCCAGTTCATAAGCTAAATATTCACCGATCCCACTCGAAGCACCAGTGATCCAAACAACTTTTCCTCGCAATGCAGTGGCAGGATCTTGGCCGATAATCTCGTACATCATCAATATAAAATCAGCATCTTGGTATTTCAAAAGAAAGCAGCAAAGGATGGGAACAAGAATTGCAACTATCCAAAATTTACGACCCATCGTTACAAGGTCACACGAGTTTCACCGAAACCCAGGCCTTACCGAAACTGTTATCGGTGTTGTCCCTAGTCTACCCTCAGCTGTATTTGGCAGCGCAAAATAAGAGAAGTCTGTAATCTGATGTACGAGGAATGGATGTGTCTTCTGTTTCCTTAGCTTTGTTGGGGAATAAGAACATTTCCGAGAAGGAAAAGCAAACAGATTGCTGATATCGCTTTTGCTTACTTACATCTTATTTGAGAAAGCCATCCTTTCCAAAATCAGACAAATCAAATTGGCCCAAACTGTGCAAAATCGGGCGGAAATCTCCAAAATCGGACGAAAGCGTCCGAAATGAGAGAACAGCGTCTAAAATCGTGCAAAAATGTCCCAAATCGGACGGAAGTGTCCCTCTATTCTTTGTTTATTCATTTCCTCGAGGAAAAACTGGCTTTATGTACATGAATGTTGTTCGTATTTTAGGTATCGTTCATGTGTTACATCGCCTCCAGAAATCAAACAGTTCTTACAGGTGTGTTGTCGAAACTAGTTTAATTTTGCTAACAGGTTTACACATGACTGTTTTGCGTTATTACCACAGCACTCTTAATTACAGTTTATAATTGTAATTCTTGTTTCAGTGGAAACATCTTTTCTCAGTTTGTTACGTAGATTCAAGATTAGATGTCTATTGTCTGTATTACAATAGGCCTGTAATTTATAAGCTCAAGTCAATATGCAGACAACTTGTGAAAAATCATGAAGTGCCTTTTGTTACCCCTTATTAGCCTACTACTTCAATATAAAAATTCTAAAAACTAAGGACTTGGAATTTTCGAACTTTGAACCCCGCTCCATTTTTTTAGACAGGCGCATCTTAGTACAAACTTGACACATTTTCTAGGGGGAGAGGGAGGGGGTCGGTGTAACATCTGCTGGGCTGGTCGTTGTATCCCTTATGGTGATGTCTTTAACTCCAGAGAAGTAATTACTTTATCCATTAAAGCATTTGAGATCCTGGTGAGAAAACAGACCATAAAAAAAGTGGAGTTAAAGCTTTTTTGCTTCTTAACACTAATAACTTTACTTCCAGAAGTGATTTCCATGTCACTACCCCTTGTGATATCCAGACATCATCCAGCACGCAAGTAATGAGAATACTCAAAATTATCAAGTAGAAGTTGTTACCTTGATCTAAAACCAAATTCTCGTAACTGATTTATAAGAAAATGTGCAGCAGACCGGGGCAGGGGGGAGGGGGGAAGGGAGAGAGTAAAGAAAAACGATTAAAATTGTCGATAAAAAATTACGATAAAAAATCACCTGATCTCCCCATAAGGCCCTGTAATATTCTTATAAGTCCCCTCATAGGCAGTTGATTGGCAGCCAATTTTCTATAGTTCCCGCCTGTATACTCTATTAACGAAATGGCGACGACTCGTCCCCCTTGGTTCCCCTGAAAAACGTGATCCCACCAGATTCCCCGTCCCCCCCTCCCACAGGTGATAAATAACGACTGGTCCCCAACACGACAAAGAGGACATATGGCGTGCTCCTTAAACACGCGTTCCGCGTTAATATTAAGAATAGAGAGGCGACTGGGAAGGAGTCAGGAAAAACATCCAACAGCAAGTCATTGATTAAGGAACGTTAAAAACACTGCTAAAATTGGCCGAGAAGTAGCTAATTCTACATGGAAGGAGTTTTTTTTTTCAATAAAAAACATCTTGAACAGTGGTTAAAAGATTTCTTTCCGGAAAAAAGGCTTAAACCTTTAGAAGTTTTTCTCTTTTTGGCTATGCTATTTGATTCGTCCCACTCCCTGCCGGCCATTTCACTGCTGCAAATCTCCCGAGATTACGATCCCAAACCGATGCTAAAAATGTCGCCCTTTTTATATAATTATATGAATGAAAGGTGAATACATCAGCCTTTTATTTTCCATTTCGGAAATTCAAAGACATACAAAGAGAGAAAAATCAATACGTACCATTTATAGAGAATTGGAAAATACTCTTTTATGTAAGTCCCTAACAGCATTGGGTTCTCTGAGATCCATATTTCATCCAATTTGTTTACCATTCCGACCACCATAAGTTTTGCACAGCGTTCAGTCGGCATTAGTGGAAACTTTATCTTGACATACTCTGGTGAGTCTCCGAACTCCTAAACAGAAGATGCAATAGACAAGTGTAAAAAAAGAATAAACTGAACACACCTGGCACAAGAAAATCTCAACATGTTCTCTCTTTCAAAGTAATTCATGCTTGTTTTACTCCGTTGGGAAAAGTTTCCAGGAGGCATGCTTCCACGCTCGTTAGGACTCAAATAAAAACTCATTACTCTCATTACTGGGACAACTTAAATAGTTAAATCAAACAAAGCAAGTCTATCTCCGAATTTCTTAGGATATTAGATAAAACTGATTTTAAAATGTGCTTTTTTTACTCCTGCCTACGAATTAAATATATTTATGCTTTATTTTTACCTATTTTTCTCATTTATTTTTCTTGTTTGTTGTCGAGCGTTTTATACATGAGCTTCATTTCTTGGAAGATTGGGCGACCACTTCCCACGTCTTTGACAATAAATAAATTATTACACATATTACATAATTACAACACCATATTTCTTTAAGCTTTAGTTGTTTCCTTACGACTTTGATATCCCCAGTGAAAGCTTTCTCACTGATTTGTGACTTTACCGGCCCTGGAAGAATCGTCTGCACGTGGATGTTATGTCGAGCCAGCTCAAACCGTACTCCATCAAAATATCCCTGTTCAAATCAAAGAGGTTAACCTTAACTTGGCGTTCAGTTGGTTACGCGAGGCGCGCTAGTGAGCGAAGGTGTGAAAAACCGAGGGAGGTTTGGGTCGGTTTACGCAACAAACGCTACTCGACTCAAACCTCCGCGCCTTTTTTTTTCACCTCCGCCACTGTAGTGCTCCGCTTTACTAACTAGAGACCAATGAACGTTTGGGTCAGAAACAACTGATTGAGTTCATTAAAACAAATTTACCGACTCGAATAAATGCCGTGGCGTCTATAAAATTCCACGCGATTTAGGAAGAGTTTCATTCAAATACATATTTCTTAACTGACAAAATGACTAAAATAATTGTAACAGATAATTTAGTGTTAACAACTGAGTTGAAAACGTATATTGATCATCGTAAAGAGTTTAAAGGCTGACGTTTCGTGCGTTAGCCCTTCTTTAGAGCGATAGATTCATTGTAATAGAGAACTGTTTCAAGGTCCGGTGTCTCACTTTTTGAGTATAAATATTCAAGAAAAGGTTTAGATTACTACATTGAATCAGCGCCGTACAGCTCTAAATGGGTGCAACGTTTAATCGAAGGCGTTGCCTCTTCTTCTTTTATCTTCGTCCTTGCACCAAGGGCGGCATTCGATCGGGTATTAAAATATGACGTGCTAGAAAAAATTAAAAGTCACACACACACAAAAAAAGAAAGTCGAAAGGAAATTATGAGCGGGTTACTATTGAGAACACAAATTAAAGACAGATCCCTTCTAAATAAACTTGAAAATTAAACTTCATTCCACCTTTATCATCAAAATTCCTCTCACTAAACTACTTCTAGTTTCTCACGTTAGTTAACATAGTCTTAATTCCACTAAGATAAGTTCAATTTTGATACATACTTGCAGTGCATATTTGGTGGAACAATAAGTAGCTGAGTGGGGTAATGCTGTGAATAAATCCAAATAAATAATTGTGGTGGCTTTCTAATCATCACACATTGTGTAAAAGTTAAATTAGCAGACTTCATAGGTCTAATATTAACTATAATCTCTTCAGATCAGTTCATCAGGCATTCCGAGGAGGAGCAGGAGGAAAATAAAAGACTGCTTTTCTTTACTTTGGAAATGGTTATAACAATGCTCCAAGTTGTGACAGTTTTGGTCAAAATTTCGGCAAAAGTTGCCAGTTGGCAACCAACAGATTTGAAAAAAAAAAATTATTGATGTTTCCTTTTTTCCTCTTTCGCTGTTCTGCAAGTATCAGACACGCATTAGCTTAAAATGAGTGCATGCTGGGTTAAAACCAAACCATACCTCCTTCAACCCTCTGAGGAAGTTATACCCACCCTGAGCATGTGCATACTATAATTGAAGACCATTTTGCAGCTGAAAGTTGCCTTAGGGCCACTTTTTGAAAAAGAGAACTTGGAGCCCTGTTATAAAGTAAGACAGGTTTGGGGGCAAAATAACTCAGACAATTAGACTCTTACAGGTTTGTGGCGGTGAAAGTTGCGGTACAAACAGGTAGAAACAAAACTAGAAGAGTAGAAATGAGTAAACTATCAGGGAAACATGATTTAACCCTTAAACTCTTGAGAGAGACTTGCATCTAATTTCTCCTTACAGAATCACTTCTGAATTACATGTCCAGGTCATGAGAATAAACAGAATGATCACCAACTTACGAAGCTCTTGATTGTTAAACAAATTCTCCTTATCAGTTCCATAGGAATTGCATAAAACAGTTAGGAGAATAGCACATACTGAAGTTAGGATGTAAAGGGTTAATGTTGTTGAAACTACCATCAACTGGCATCTGCTTGACATTACTTAATCCTTTAACTCCCAGAAGTGCATAACAAGTAACTTCTCCCTAAATTATCCATGCATTATTCAGCAAACAGGTAATGAGAATACTCGAATGTATCAGGTAGAAGTTGTTATCTTGATCTAACACCAAATTCTCGTAACTTATTAACAAGGATATTAGTAGCAGCTAGAGGGGAGAATTAACAATCAGATCTTGGGAGTTAAAGGGTAAACCACCAGTTTTAAAAGGAAAAAAAACCACCTAACCCTTTAACTCCCAGAAGTGATTAACATGTAACATCTCCTAATAACATCCATACATTATTCAGCAAACATGTAATGAGAATACCCAAACTTATCAAGTAGAAATTGGTAGTCTTGATCTAACACCAAATTCTCACAATTCATTTGCAAGGAAATGTGTAGCAGCTAGAAGGGAGAATTAAAAAGCAGATCTTGGGAGTTTAAGGATTAGCAGCAGTCTGCCACTGCCTCTAAGACCTCTAACCACCGTTTGTTTAATTCCCCTCAATTTTCCAGCACCCCACTTCTCACCCATTAATAACTTTCTGATTTTAATCTATCACCTAACATCTGTATTTTCTTAGCATGTTTACGACAATTTACCAACCTGTCTTTCCGGCGAGACTGCTAACCACCACAATTTGTCCTTCTTTGCGTTCAATCATGTGTGGAAGAACTGCTTTGGTCATAGAGATGGTGCCAATCACATTTAAATCAAATATAGCTCTGTCCACCTCTAAAGGAGTGCTTCTCATCCAAGATCTCTGGCCACGAGCTCCATTGTTCACCAAAATATCAATCTACAAAGTGACAATGAAGTGACATGATAGGCAGGAATTCTGTAATGGGAAAGGTACTTGTTTGTCCAGAATGTGGTAGCATTTCCTAGTGAATATTCTATCCACATTAATTATTTTGCCAAGCTACCTTTTTTGTACAGCAGGGGATGTTATGTACATGAATTGTTAAGTGGAAGCTTTCCTCTAAAACTCTCATATAAGTGAGGTACAGTCCACTTTCCTCCTTTTCTGCCATTGAGATAAAGTCTGTAAACTAAGTATTACAATTGAACCTGTAATAAGCCATCACACAAGGGGAATGGCAGGGTGACTGCCTACTACAGGGTATCACAGCTTCCTTAAAAGCAGGTGATACAGGTTTGACTGCTATCAGTACCTTTCCAAAATGCTTAAGGACATCTTGAGTCAGGTTGCCATGTGAGTCATATTTCATCAAATCCAATGGAAGTACAAGAATATCTTGATCTTTGTTAAATGAAGCATCAACACCAGCTGCAATTGCTGGGAAGTAAATAAAAATTTAAAAAAAACAGACACTTTCAACCTAAGATTCAATTATAGATTGACTTTCCTAAGCTAGAATTTCATCATTGTAGTAACCTTAAAAAATACAAAACCTTTCGTCTTTAATATGACGGAAAAAACTTTGACGGAATGAAGAGAAAAGCACAAACAAATATAAACATGAATTACATCCAGAAATCTTTTCCACAGTTTTGCAATGGATAAAAGTGGAACAAGACAGAATGGATATGCAAGGAAACTAAATATCTTTTCCTTATCAGAAACAAAATAAAATTCATCAGGAATGTAGGAAGGTTACTTTCGGGGAAGTTGCCGTGACAGCTGGCGTGACATCGCAAAACCTGCAGTGACGCAAGCTTGGTGCGATACAAAAATGAAATATGTACTTTACTTTTTTTGAGCTTTGTAGGAGATTTTAAAGCATATGTATAATGAATATTGATAGAATTAATCACCTAACTACGATCTCCTACAACCATGTATAAATTACTGGAAAGATCTCCGTATAACCCCACACTTCATTATGCATACAGTGCTTCGATAAAAGAAAACAATGACGATGCAGAAGATTGCCTTTGGGACTAGGGCTTTGTGGTAGAATAACACTAAGGTTGCGCGTAAATCTTTCCAAATTAACAAGCAAACATAACTGCGAGAATTTTTATTTTAAATACTTATATCTTTTGATAACAAGACTAATCATATGACATTTTTGGTAAAGATTTACAGCAGGAGAAAAGATCTCCGCTAATATGCATCATTTAACAGATTATTCTTGTTCTTGGTTAAATTCGTTCATCCCAATTTCACCACAATTTCTCTCTTACCTGCACAGTTTTTCTTGACTCTCTCTAACTCTGCCTTCCTCCGTGCAGACAGCACTAGTTTACAGCCGTATTTAGCCAGTTCATATGCAAAGTATTCTCCAATCCCGCTGGAAGCACCAGTGATCCACACAACTTTTCCTCGCAATGCAGTTGCAGGATCTTGGCCGATCTTCTCGTACATCATCAATATAAAATCAGCATCTTGGTATTTCAAAATAAAGTAAAGAAAAAGAGGAACCAGAACTGCAGCTATCCAAAATTTACGACCCATCAGTGCTAACAAGGCAAGTTTCCTTCGACGCCCTTGAGCTCGAGCTCGATATCTTAATTATCCCCAGGCGACTCTCATCTTTCTTTGGAAGCGTGTAATGGAAGGTTGGGAAGTGGTTCTCTCCTACCTGTCCGGAGTGCCGTCGGACGTTAGTGTCAAATAACGAAAAGGAAAATGGGACCAAAAAAGAATGAGTATATTTAATAAATCACTGAAACTTGATTTGGGGTACAATCAACTTGTTGTTGTTTCTTTTTTGACCTTTTTTTCGGGAAGAAACCGGGTGTTTTTTTCTTTATTAAGTTTGTACATATACAGGAGCTCATTACTGGACTCCTGGTTTGTATTGTGGGTATCTATGCTGGTGTTTCACCACTTCACCCCTTCAAGAATACAAAACCCTTAGAAAGGGTCACTCTCAGTGCGATCACGGCACGTGATCCAAGCTGTAGCCCTGCTGAAATCCCCGGGCAGCTCCTCTGATACGCTCCCGACGATTCCGATCAGCCCCTCTGATAAGCCTCCTATCCAATGTGATCAGCCCCTTTGATATGTACCCTACCGGTACCGATCAGCCCCTATGATATGCCCCTTACCAATACCGATCAGCCCTTATAATATGCTCCCTACCGATATAGATCAGCCCCTATGCTATGCTTCCTGTCCATTCCGGTCAGCCCTCATGATATGCTCTCTATCCATTAATTCCGATCAGCCCCTGTAGTATGCCCCCTGCCGATTCCTATCAGCCCCTGTGATATGCCCGCCAATCCACTGATTCCGCTCAGCTCCCATTGCATTTCTCCCTTTTCGTTTCGATCAGCCCTTATGATATGCCCCCTACCGATTCAGATCAGCTCTTATGTTATGCCCCCCTACCGGTTCCGATCAGCCCCTCTGTCATGCCTCCTTTCCTATGCGATCAGCCCCTATGTTGTCCCCTACCGACACCGATCAGCCCCTCTGATATATCCCCTACCGATGCCGATCAGCCCCTCTGATATGCCTCCCGGCCAATACGATCTGCCTCTGATATGCCCCTACCGATGCCGATCAGATCTAGCCTCTCTGATTTTCCCTCCCGGCCGAGGCTATCAGCCCCTATGATATGCCCCTATCCATTCCGATCAGCCCGTCCACATGCTAACTTCGTGAATTTAAGGTGGACATCCAAACACACACAATTCAATCCACCTATATTTATTAATAAAAGCTTAGAAAAATACAAACATACTGGCCCCGGTTGTTCCAAAGTTGGATAACGCTATCCACTGGATAAATCTCGATCTGGTGGATAGCGTAGTACGTTTTGCTATTACTTATCCGCTGAAGAGCGATTTATCCATTGGATAACGTCCCACCTTTAAACAACTGGGCCCTGGTCTATTTTTCAGCACGATTCCAAGCACGGAACTATACGACTTCCTGCTACTTTTCACTACTGTTCTAACATTTCTGTTCTTGTTTATCATTTCAAAGGGAACCATTCGATAACCTTTTTTTCTTACCACCTACAAACCTTGTAAAGTTTTGGAAATTGTTTTCACCTCTTTAAATTTAAGTTTTCCCGGGTAGAGAGGGTTGCGGCGGAATAGTAGAGCCACAAAACATTCTTGGCTGATCATTTTGTACATATGATTTAGTGACACTTCAGGCTTCGCTAGACAAAAGAAATGGATAAAAGAAACAAACAAAAAAACTGACATCACAGCACCTCATGCTTGGTTCGGTAATTAAACCCAAAGATTATCATTCGACAATATCCTGTTGAAATCATTCGCTGATGAATACATGACGGTCATTATTATGGTCTTTTACATATGATGAAATTCGGCAACCGAAAAAGGAAATCGAAGTCATCAAATCATCCAGAATTTCTTTACCCTTAATTAGTTCGTGTCCAGTCTTGCCCGGTAAGAGACAGTAATGTACAATATTGTTACAAGCGTGACCAACTTTGCGCGCTATACATTGATTCTTGTATCATTTTGTTTATGTTTTGTTCTATTAGAACAAGGTAAGGTATTAACTTAATTGTTTTTTTTTTTTTTTCTCCTAGTCGAATGGAAAAGACAGAATTTGAGAATTTACAGTAAGATTACATTCCAACAATGATCTAACAGGCAGTCCTAAAGCGGAAGAGCCATTACAAAAGAAGGTTTTGTGAACTAAAGTTACAACTGTACAGACGCCCAAGAATTTGTCCAAGGACGGTATATAAATATCTCTACCATCTGTAACAGTCGTAAAAGGAAGGAGCACTAAATTAGTCTTGAGATCCACCACTGACCAATAGAAAATTGAGTCGACGAGTCGCTGTGTTCTCACCGTTGGACCGCCCTCCGCTTACTCCACAAAACTTACGCTAAATATACAACATCTTTAAACTTTCTTCCACCAAAAAAGACAAGAACCAGCAGGAATTTGAAGGAGAGACAAAATCACTAGTGTTGCTATGATCGCTGTCCTCCCATTTTGTTTATAAGTTCGTCGCAAATCGACGTGAGTTCGGCGTTTTCGGATATCTGGAAAAAAGGAGCGAAAAACGTATTCAAAACACCTCATCAATTGTACAAGAGGGTAGGTGCCGTAAAAGTAGCGACAACGAAGAGCTGCAACTTTTGCCGTAACAACCAAGCCAGAGCCCACCTCCGGGCACTTGTCAACACAACACCAACAAAACAGTGGGGGAGGAGGGGGAAGGTAACAAAGAAAGCCAAGCAACAAGGCAAAGTGAGCAAAAGTACTTTGCAAAACCACTTGAACTCTCCTTCAGCGCCCCCCACTGGTTATAAATAATTACATTAAGTCCAGTAAAACTCAACTTATTTATGGTAAAGTAAGGGTACAAGAATATCATAAGGTGAAAGTACAACTACGGGTCTTTACTTATAGGAGAAAAAGAGAGGTGGTTTGGTTGAGGAAATACACACCTTTTGCTGTAGACTCATCTCTAAGCTAGCTGATTTCGTTTGTTCCTTCTTAAGTGCCGCTTTCATTACCGCTATCTCTGACTCGTTGGATTTCCGTACTCGAGCAATTTCGATATTGGCACTGAAAACAAAAAAAACAAATCAAAAAATAAGATATTCATAAATAAAAACAGAAATAGGTAAATTTTAATGGCGCACAAAAAGGACAGAACAAAACCTTTCTATTTTTTCTTCAGCGTGCTTCTTTAACATGCGATATTTTTCTTCAGATCTTTTTAGCTTCTCTTGGTAGTCAGTGGTTGCCTTTTTCAGTATTTCTTCATTCTAAAAAAAGAACCAACAGATTTCAATCCTCAATGGAGACACAGAGAGCAGTAGTTTACCAAGACAAGCGAGCAGTAGGTTATCAAGTCAAGCCATATGTTTAATACCTTTTTAAAATTTTCCACGACTCCCTTGAGTTTCTCGTATCTCCTATGTAGATCTGAGAAGGCCGTCTCTACCGCTGTCAGATCAGATTGAAGCTACGAAAAACAAAGAAAATAAAATGAAAACAAAGAAATAATTTGGACGATACGCTCTGCTTTATGTTATGTTACGCGCTTTTGCAAACAAATGACATCAGTACCAAGGAAAATAATCTATCTGAAGTTGAAAGCTGCTGTGTGAACATAAATAGCCTCCGATATGATGCCTTATGTTTGGTCCATATTCGATTGTTTTCGCTCTTATTACCCAGGTTAAGAGGGGGTATTCACATATACACAAAAGGAGACAATTTCGCCCCTATTTAACAAAAAAGTTTGTACTCGACACAACTCGCGACCTCGACTCGGCGGAGACCCGAGCAAACGATAAGGAGTCACCTTGTTTTAAAAATTAATGAATTTCCTTTTAATTAATCAGCGACCCGATCACGCTAGTTGGAGTATAAGAATCGTGAAACATTTTTTACCTGGTCTCGCTCTTTCGCCACCTCTGAAGTTGAGTGATTAAATTGGTCTTGTGACTTCTGATTTTTTTCTGCCAGAAACAAATGAGGTAGGAGTGTCAAAAAAGAAAGACAAAAACAACTGGATATCGGGCGAACAGTGGGCAAAATATTGAACGAATCAGCTATAGTAGCCTGCAAAAATTTTGTTCAGCTTAAGTTCTTCATTTCCACAAGCCATCCAGCTTTGAAACTGGAGCAACAGATGACGACCCAAAAAGGAAAAGTTGCTTTGGCAAGTAATGATAAACAAACAAACAAACAAACTAACTAACTAACTAACTAACTAACTAACTAAACGGAACAAAACAAAACAACTAAACGTTGTGGAGGTGTAAAAAAAGATTAATGCTCTCAATTTTCAAATCATCGCAAGATAATATGCAACGTAATGCAATGCAATCTCGGAGGTAATTGAAAATTAACAAATTTATATATGAATGTACGATCTCACACTAGAAGGACTTCCCTAGCCAAAAGACATCATTTTATAAAGGTGCAAAGTTAATTACAAAAGGAACTGTAGTTACCGATCATATCAGCGATGGTCTTCTCGTATTCTTGCATCACAACCCTAAAGACAGGGATGCACGTTCAGTAATCAAAGAGGAGATTGGCAATCCGTCAATTATTTAATGCTTCAGTAGTCTTCACGGAAACCGGTTTTTGGGATGTAACGCAACGCTATCCAAATGCTTCGGGGTAAGGGAGGGGGAAGTAGCGTGATATTCCATGAAAGTGGCTGCGAGACGATGGAGACTATTGATTTAGCTGATGTATTGGTCAGTTGGTCAGTTACTCGAAGCGTTCAAGTCTTGGGGTGGCTTCGATTGTCCCGGCTGTGTAACTGGTCGGTCAGACCAGGGGCCGCTCATTATTTATCCTCTGGAGGTCAGAAGATTTTGGTTGTGTCGCAAATAAATTTACCTGATCTCCCACGAGGCTTCTAAGTGTTCTAAAATCCCCCCTTGATTAGCGGTAAACTTTTATACTCCCTTCCTTAAATTCTGTTAGAGACGACTGCTCCCCCCTTCTTTCCCCTGAAACCACGTGATCCCCCATAAACCTCCCAGCCCCCCCCCCCCAGAAGATAGATAATGACTGACTCTTTATCAATCTGTCTATCTGTCGATCGGTTAGATTAACTGATCGCCGTCAGTTTGTTGGTAAATTCATTCTGTCACGCAGGTATTTGGTCTGTCTTTTCACTAATCAACCAAAGGAGAAACAGATAGTTTTCAGCCAGTCGGTTGATCTTTAGCTCCTCAGTAAGGTGTACATGCTGTCTGCCAAACCAACTGATAGCAAATTGACACCAAGTTTGTACATCAGCTAGCAGTTTCAATCTGAAAAAACCGTCAACTGATAGGACGTAAAGTTACTGTAATGAACAAATCAACTTACGATCCTTCTCAGTGTAAGCACCAACCTTAATTCCCCTGTTTCTCTTCTTAACTGTTCATTTCTTTCCGTTAATTCTTTGCTCTCCATTTCACGAATTGTAGCCTCCTCTTCCATCTTTTTGTTAACATAAAAAAAAAACGCAAAAATGAGTGATTGCCGACAGACCTGCTTAAAATGCCTCCCCTCTTTTCTATCCAAAGGAAGAGCAGCGATTCTCTGACATACCTGCTGACGTAGAGTTTCGGTCTCCTTTTTGACTGCTGCCTCAAACTCGTCTTTGCTACTGAACAGCGCCTAACGAATGGCAGAAACAAAGAATGGCAAATGAGAGCAGTTCAAAAGAGATCGGTTCTCATCAAGGTAAAAAAAAAAATTATCTGAAGATGCAACTAGAAATATCTGTGTTCGGAAACCATGCAGCAAGTCGTGATGGTGACAAACTCCTCTCTGCCACAGAACAGCGCCAAGCGAATGGCAGAAACAAAGAATGGCCAATGAGAGCAGTTCAAAAGAGATCGGTTCTCATCCAGGTGAAAAAAATTGTCTGAAGATGCAACTAGCAATCCGTGTTCGGAAACCACGCAGCAAGTCGTGATGGTGACAAACATCTAATTTCTCTTTACAATAGCGCACCTGAATCAAACATTTAGGTCACGAGAATTTAGGTAATGAGCACCGACTAAGAAAGCTCTGGATTGTTGCACAAATTCTCCTTATTGGCATCGAAGGAAATGTATGGAGGACAGTGTGTAAAGTATGCATTCTGATGTTGGGATATAAAGGGTTAAGTCAAAATGCACACAAACTCTCTTCTTCACAAATTCGTTATTTTACAAGTCCATTTTTGCATCCCTCTTGGATAGATTCTTTGTGATTCACTCACAGCAATCACTTCAAGTTTGACTCAGAGTATAGCCACGTAAATATCACCATGCGCCTCATTGACTGAGCTCGTGGTGTAGATTTTTAAGCCAAACAGCTAAGTAAAACCGAGAAAGGTGCGAAGGTTACCTGTTTACGGAGAGCTTCCGTCTCTTTCTTAACAGCTGCATCTAATTCTTCTTGGGTAAATAGCCGCACCTTAAATGTTACAAGAAAACAAAGGATAAAAATACTGCAGTAGATTATGTGTGCAGATCAGCAAGTTTTGATAAATTGAGGTGGTGTACTATATACGAGAACAATTGCACAAGAAACAAGTTTGAGAGCTCTACATATGACGTACAGTATCCAAAGTGCAAGTCGTTTTGTTATAATCCGATGATATGTTTAAAGAAACGTTGTAGCTAACCTCTTTTATGACTGTGTTATCATGGACAGATTGTCCCAGACATCCAAAAGCCTTCAAAAAGCTCCACAAGTGCATGATCTTTTGTCGGTGTGCTCTTTGATCCGTTCGAGCAACGATCAATAGATCAACAACAATGGAAAAAACACAACGGAAATTACGAGCATCGCAAATCCGGAGAAGCCATTTAACTGCGGCCGAAAGTTGTGTTCTTTAAAAGGCTTCGATTATTTTGTAGGGGTCATAGAGGCTCCGCTTAAATGAAATCTTAAAATCCTGTCCATTAAGACTCGATAAAACCAGCTATTTCTCGTTAACGCGAGTCTGAAGCCGCTAGCCACCAGCTAAATCTCGTTGAAGGACTTTTCGAGCGCCAAAATATAAAGATGAAAAAAACAAAAAAACATCATCGCACTTGTCACCCAAGCTGACAGGTTGCAAAGCAAATTGACCAATGAAAAGACACAATCCTCCCAGTAACGATCCATATAAGGACTATTGGTGCTATTAATGCGCGTAAAATACAAGATAAAACACCAGTCACCTCTCTTACAAACCATTAATATTAAATGAAAACAAAAACACTCAGGTACGAATCCGCAAGCCATCTGTTCACTGACTCGTTTCGACGGCAATGAGATCAAAACAAACCACAAAATGAAAATTATCAGATATTAGGGAAATATTTCTTTCATTCATTACAAATTCATTCTTCGAAGTTAATCGCAGAGACCTAGTTTCATGTAATTTGAATTTCTAAATCCTGCCACGAAATAGTCCTCTCGTAACGTTTAAATCACACAGATTGCAATTTTGGTTACATTTCAAAGTGCGAAACGACCACGAAATATCAACTTAAAAAATAAAAACATACATTACTAAAATGACAAAATTCACTTTTCATCAAACTACGTGCTAGATTTAAATTCTCTCCGACAACTAATCTTAAATTTTGAGGTATTTTCTCAACAAATAAATGACAGATTGATTCGAAATTTTACCTCAGGAGCACAGTGGTTTGGAAGCGAAATTGAAGTCTAACGCGTCTACATGTTTTCCTTTTGTACTTTTATTGGATTTTGTTCGCTCATGAATTCTGTCAGATATTTGTTTCTAGCAGTCACTTAAAAGAAAAATAAACAAGACACAATACCACGGTGCATCGATTTTACCGAAAAAAGCCCGAAAATTTGCATTCTTATCAGTGGGTTAATTTTAATCTACTCGAAAATTTTAACACACAATACCATCATTTCCCCCGTTTTGAACTTGTATATTCCACCTTTTTGACCGAGCTATATCTTAATGCGAAGTACTCAGATATAATTAAAATAATTCCAGAGTTGAAGAGCGAATGGTAAATAGAATTTAAAAAGTTTTGGTCGCCGCTTGTAAAAATTCTATAAAAGTATTTAGAATTCGGTATTTTTAGGCAAACGAAATTCTGATAGAGGTGGTACATCTAAAACCATACTTCTGAATGCTTTCATTGTGCAAAATAAAATACAATTTTGGCATCTGTATATAAGGAAAGACAATTCAAGAAGATATAGTGCTTAATTTCTTCTGAAATGCCCAAAATCTGATGAAAAAATCGTACAACCAGTGCAGTAACACGAACGTCTTCGCGAGAAAACACAAAATTATAAAACCGAGTACATTTTTATCTCTTACGCAAATATACCGCTTCACTCGATGGTGTCAACAACAAAAGATTCTCAAAAGCGACTTTTGTCAATAGAAACTTCCTCACTGAAAATCTTGAGTTAAGAGTATTTCAATGTTTACCTTGTCGCGCGGCGCTTCTTCCTCTTTCACCTCAATATTGCTTATCTCTGGCGCAGAATGCGTTTCCACAATGTTGTTGGATTCTTCCACAGTTATATCCTCCTCTTCTTCTTCGATTTCGGTTTTCGTACCCTGAAAACAGAAATAATTTATACAGACAATGTTTTCATCTTAGCACAGCAGGAGATCTGCTTTAAACATTTCGTATTTCCGCTAGAGTTTGAAGGAATATGCTGGGAGAAATGGAAAATTTACATACATTAACATTTAAAACCAACCCAGTGAAGTTGGCCGTCGGATATCAAGTGAAGTCGCCGACAAAAATGGGATTTTCTCTCACCAGTCAAGAAAATTAAACACTTTTCTTGACATCTATCAATTTAGAGGGAATTTGGCAAATTGACAGAATTAGACTTTCACGATGTAGAAGTTTCGAAATGTCGCGTGCAAAAACTGTAAGTGGTAAGTACATAAAAACAAAAGGGGCCTTTTAAAAGAATTTAGAAAATAATCCCCTCTAATTCAAACTGATTTTCATCATCTTCCTTTCATTTCCTCAACTGGCAAATAATCATTTCGCTGTGACAGAATATTAATATAAAACCAAAAGTAATTGATTAAATCAAGGTCCTTCATTGGTCTTTATTCAATGAAATTTCCCTCGAGGTGAGAAAAGGGAAAAGTTAACTCAACATTTCCTGGTGGGGATATCATTTGTCACGCATTTTCTAAACAATAAAAAAATTGCGTGACAAACTCAAATATATAAGTTAGGTTATGTTCGCTTGACTGGTCGCTTTGTTTTGATTTTGGATTTTTTTACCCGACTCTTTCTACCAAAAAATATTTATACTGAAGATCTTTAAAAAAAACATATGAAGTTTATTGGTGATTGTGGCCTCAAAACTGAGAAGAAATTTGAAAAAACCTACATAAGACAATAAGATAAATTGCTTGGGATGTTGCCTAGTCGACGAGAAGTTAGTAATCATGTACAATAAAGAAAAGACACACGTCACTGCATATATATCACACAATTCTTTCGATCTAAAGTCGATTTTTTATCATGTCTATTGAATTCTCCGTCTCAGAGTATATTTAGTCTACAGTGTGCCAAGTTTGACAGAAACTATCCATCGTTCATTGCCTCAGCGTTACAAAGCAACTCCCCCTAACCCAAAATTAACTCCAACTTGTTATCAGCTGTTGGTGTTTGGCTAGAGGAGAAGTGGGCACACAGTTGCTCAGACGTTTACATTGATCCGAACGATTCGAGCAAGATTTTTAACCGTACCTTAGCTGTCTCGGAAGGAGAAAAGTTTAACAACTTGTCCACCCCGCACGGGCTGTCTGCCTGTTCTAACAGAGTTTGGTCTTCGTTGGTTTGGCTTCCTTGAAGTACTGAGGTCCTCGCGGAGGGTGCTGGTGAATCCATGAAGAGAAGATTGTCGCCCATGCTGCATATTAAGTTTTAAAAAATACGAATAAATAAATTAAATGCAATGAAGAAAATTGACAAAACAAAGGCCATCAAGTAGCCTACCTCAGAGGTTTCTGTGGAGCCATATTTCTCATCCCAACACCTCGCTTGACTGCAATTCAGAAGAAGAGTTATTCGTCAGTACCCGAAATAGGGATTATTAACCAAAATGGAATACTTTCTGTTCGCCTTAAGTTGCACTTTATCACAAAAGGAAAAAAAATCAAGTAGATCACTTAAGCGTTTGAAAAGAACAAAGGCAAAGAGAATGTAAAGAAAGCAAGAAGTACCCCCCCCCACCGTCTCACAAAAAATATATATTATTTTTCTTCCCTCTAGCAGGAGTGGAGAAGAGGCCATGTGATGCCCAAGACATTCCCAACCCACCCACCCACCCATCCCTCTTCTACTTCACTCTATTCAATGAACATGTACCTGACAGTACTTATTCTGTTTCTAGAAGCAGCGTACAAACTTTAAACATGAAACTTCCCGACAGGCTTATCCAAGGTTGCAAGATTTTAGTGCATTTATACAAGGTGTAGTGTGTCATTTACAAATCACTAACCTGGAGTTTGAGAACTTCCTCCTTTGACAAGTGGATCAAATTTAACATACAAAGACTGACGTGCCAGGGCTGACTGCAAAAGTAAACACAACATTTGTTTAAACTAATGGTGTGTATGTCATCAAATGTAGCTGTACTGCTGTAAAAACCCAAATGGCTACAAACTAAGGGTAACATAGGCTTCTGTAAGACCATAGAGACAAACACTGTAAGCAAAAGCCAGCACAAGAGCCAATAGAGATTAATTTTAATGTCATAGTTACAGCAGAATTATATAAAACTGTCAACCTGAGCAGAAAAATTAAAACGAACAATTATCTGGCCAATAAAATATTTCTGGGTTAGACATTAACACATCTTGTTTTGATATATCTTTTGATATTTTCTGTTTTTCCTTTTGATCACCTTTCTTCCTTCTAAAACTTTTTGGTCAACAGCACATTCTTTTTCTTAGAAAAACAATAAAGGTGACAAGTATCTAATTTCTCCTTAAAGTACCACAACTGAGTCACACATTTAAGGTCATGAGAATAAAAGAAATGATCAATAACTAAAAACGCTGTTGATTGTGCAAAATAGTACAGTTAAAGGTTAAAAATTAACATGGTTGTTTGGACACCTTAAATGCAACACTGATCAAAACAAGCAAACAAACAAAAAAAAAAACAGAATTATTTCCATGTGTGAATACACATGTACATTTGTAGACAGGCATTATCACCACAGATAGGAAAGCTTTCATTAATCTGTTAGTTCAGACCATCACCAAATAAGAAAGGAAAATTCTCACTTTCAAAAACCACCCAGACACTGTAGACTGTTAATTAAAGTACATATACTACAAAAGTACTGCAACATTTTCCAAACCTTTCTCTTTATCATAATTATTGACCATCACAAATAGGCATATCTGGCAGATCTTGATTGTTTAAAACGAGGAACACCGTGTGGCACATTCATTGTAAAAAATTAAAAGACTACTCAATCCACAGCCTGCCTTAACAATATTTTCAATGCATACCTAATTTCTTCATCAGTGACAGAATTACTTAGTTGAAAAGGTTTGACAATCTTTTTTCATTCAAATCTGACACTTAATGAGGTATTTCCCACTTTTATTTGACATGTCCTTCATTTAGTGATCATTAGGAGCAGGTAATGATGTGACAGCTTCAATTTCACTGTCCAATGAGCAGGAAATAAGGTGATATACTTTAAAACATTTGACTGAGAAACTCCCCAGGACATCATTAATGATTCATGATCAATGTCTGGTGCTGCTTTGATGAAAAGCAAAGAAACCTCTTTTTCCATTTGGTACTCAGGTACCATGAATTCAATGGGCTGCTGATTTTAAAAGTGATGGAAAACATCCACACAAGATTTAACAGACAAAAGTGACAACATTTACTCCACATTTAATCGAGAGGCATCACAAGGTATAATATACAATGTACATTTATAAAAACACTTCGAGAGTAATTAGGATAGCACAACCAACACAAATCACGCACATGGATTAAAGTAAAAGAAAAGTTCGTTTTCATTGTAAATATCATGAAAGTGTATTTTCCCAGTTAAAATAGAAAAGTAAGAATGTGAAAAAAACGTATGTTTCAGACAAGACAGTTATTATAATTGTTATTATCTAAAGAAACTGTGATGCTTTATTGGTGGATAAGTATAACAAGGTAATTTAGTACATTGTATATCAACTGAGTTGATAACATAAATTGGCCACCATTTAGAGTTTCAAAGCTGACTTTTCAAGCATTAGCTCTTCATCAGAGCAAATTGTGATGGGCTGGCACTCAAAACATCAGCTATAAAATTCTTTGCAGTGGCCAATTAACATCATCAACTCAGTTGATAATACCAAATTACCTTAGCAAAAATCACCATCAGTTAACTTCATTTTAATTCGTATCTAAAGTAGAACCCTGCAAACTTAAATGGGTTTCCCCAGGTAACTCGAACAAGATTTGATTTCCCTTCACCCCATTTTAATACACGACTAAAGTCATGTATTATTTGCTCAAACACCCACTAACTATTTATTGTTTTCACTGGGGAGTAACAGTTAGAGGCATTCTACTGTATCAAGACATTCATTTGTAAGTGAAAAAATTAAAGTTAAAACCTCTTAAATCCACAATTAAATCTCTGGTAATGTTATAGTTCCTTTTAGATGGTGACAGCAGTTTCTCTTCTGATAATAGATTAGAAACATTAACTTAAGAACATCTCTTACCATTTGAAAGTCCTCACTGTTGTTGCCACACTGCTCCAAATAGTCAAGCTCCCACATGGCTGGTGTTGAAATATAACAATAAAGGCAGTTAAAATGCAGCAGTACCATTTTGAGTTAACCCTTTAGGGACTAGCTTCTAATTTTTCCTTACAATAGCAGCCTTGAATCAAGAAGGTAACAAGCACAAAGGAAATGATCATCAACTAAAGAGGCTCTTGGTTGTTGAACATGTTCTCCTTGTCAGCAACTCAGAAAATGTAAAGAGAAAAGTGTGGAGAATATCTATACTGATGTTAGAGAGTAAAGGGTAAAAACACTTTCATATCCTTACAGCTTCAAAGTTATTACCTTCACTGGCTGGCTTAAATGCCTCATCTCCGAACTGATCATCAACCTCTACTTGGTTTACTGCATCTTTTTCAAACAGAGCTTGAACATCCTCTGTCTTTTCACCACTTATCACATCTTCATTCAGTGTATTTCTCTCTTGAAACTCATTTTCAAGCTCCGAGGGGTTCACTGAAAACAGTTCAGCTGACTTATATGAGTGTTCCTCACTGGTTATCTCCTTAAGTAAATTGTCAGTGTGACCATTTCCTGTGGACGACACATCATCTTCTATGTTGTCATTTTCATGTGGAGCAAGGAGTTTGTTGATGTCTTCGTTACTGTCTATGAAGTTCTCTGAAAGGAACAATTACTAAGGTTCAGTAATTATTGAAATAAAAAGCTTCAACTCAAGTTGACAATCCCATAGCTATGCATAGTAATATCAACTTCATAGTTCAATTTTTTATCATTTCAAAAAGCATTCCTTGGAAAAATTCAAACATCGAATTATGTGTTACAAGTCAAGAAATTTCTTTTAAGTTTCAAAAGAAACATTTAAGACCCAGAAAAAATTGCACATCTAACCAGAGTAAGATATTACATTAAAAGCCCATGGGCAGAAAAAACCACTGGCTGTCAGACCATTTTGCAGCGGCTACTATGCTTTGTAAATTGTGCTTAAAGACAGAAAATAAGTACTTTTTAGAACTGATTCTAACATCATTGGCTGGCCAAAGTCAACCCTTTATGTCCTAAAACCAGTTACTGTATATTCTCCACAAAGTTCTCAATACATTTTTGTATATTATTTCCTATGGTGTTGACAAGGAGACTTTGTTTTACAATCAAGAACTTCTTTGTTTGGTGATCATTTCCCTTTTTTCTCATGACCATAATCTGTGATTCAGGGGTGATATTGTAAGGAGAAATTAGATGCTAGTCACTCTTTGGGGTTTTTTCTTACAGACCTTGCTCATCAGGTGATGCCCTATCACTACCAATTGGTGAAAATGTGCGTGGACAGTCGTTACTGTTAATTTGTAACTTTGAAAAGTCCGACATGAGCTCTGTATCTAAATCATCATTAGGTCCATTCTGATGCCCTTCGGACCCTTGCGTGATATTGCCAACAGACATCTCAGATTCATCAATTTCTGGGTGATCAGCATTAGTTGTCATGTTTATAGCTGTGCCTGATTGCCCCCTACAAAAATTAAAAATATATGAAAAATATTAATTCTGGATGGTTATATAGTACAGTTCTGTCAGATGTGCTAATGGAATGCTAAACAAATCATCATAGCAGCCATCAGCAGATCAAGGATCATACTTAGTCTTGGAGATCTCATACAATTCTTACAATATTAGTTTGGAGAATTTGGTATTGGATCAACTAATATTTGCAGAGTTGACATTTTTTGTTATTCTCATCACTTGTCTGCTTGATATTGTATTGATATTGTAAGGAGAAAATCTGCCTTGGTCACCCATGGGAGTTAAGGGTAAAGCTGATAACTGAAGAAATTAGGAAAAATCTTGCAAAGAAACTAACATTGGTAAAATCTGGAACTGTCAACTGTGCATCAGAACTTTACAATTTCTCTTTATTTACAACAGATGTCAACAGACAAAGAGATACATGTTAAAAAACTAACAAACAGGTCCAGTGAGTAGAAATGTTTTAGTAACAAAGTTTCTCAATGCAATCATCCTATATTGCCATTGCTGAAAAATTGTTAGAAATAATCATATACAGTACTAAAAGTTGTAACCATTTTGTTCACCATGGCAAGTGAAAAATTCCAACAAAAGTCACCAATTGGCGACCAACAGATTTGAAAAAAAATATATATATATTTATATATATATACACACACACACACACACCTATTTTAAAAAACATTGCAATTTGAAAAAAAATATATGAAATGTGTATAAACAATAGGTTTATATATTTCATATATATTTTAAAATTCCAGTGTTTTTTGAAAACTGATGTATATATACAGTATATATTTTTTGTAGACCATGTTGGTATTACATGTAACTCCAGATGCATACCAGGAGATTTCCATCTTAATAAGCTTGTTATTGACTACAACCAATATCTCTCAACTTACCTAAAGCAGGGTAAATCAGCTATAAGCTGGTCAAGTAACTCCTACAAAAATATCAGAAACAGCATTAAAATCAATATAAACACACACTCTAAAGAGGAACATGTAGATCAGTACTCAGTAGAACTAAATTCTTCATTTCTTACCTTGGCTGTTTCAATGTAAAAATTATGCTCTTCCTTGGTCACAACTTGCGTTCTCTCTGTCCAGTTCTGTTCTTCGTCAAGTTTACGAATATCCTCCCAAGCAGTATTTTCTTCTCTTTTGTGAGGGATTGTGTGCCGTGCAGGAGAATTTTTGAATGAGACCTGAAGAAAAATGAAAAAGTTGTAAATACACCAAAACCATGAATCAAGAGGAAAGTTTTGCACTCTGTAGCTTTCGATTATTTAAATGTGATTGTCAGTTTTAAGGAAACTTTACTACAATTACATCTTGGATAGAGATGCCTATCAGCTTTCCAGGATATCCCAATAGGTCAGGAATCTAGGATAACCCTAACTTATGTTGAAGCCATATGTACAAAAAGAAAAATCTATTTCCAGTTTGTCACACTGTACACCTGGGACTTTCTTGACCAAATGGTTATAGGTGAAAATTTAATAATCTAACAAGGAGCATTAATATGTACAGTAAATGAAGACAAATGAGCTATCATGGGAACAAATAAAAGTTTCACGAGCTACATGTGATATGGGTGAGAAAGTCATGGCAACATCTACATGTATGCTTTGAAAAAACCAATGGTTAAATTTATCATCAGGTCTAAATGCGTGAACATGACCTTCTACATGTTGTACACAAGTACCATGAGTCTAAGAGAATCCACTTATAATACTAATTTCTACAACCTTCTCTTCCACGAATTTGCCTTTTGCCTCTGTCATAACAGTCTTGACCTGTTAAAATGATTAAGTGGGCCTACTTGGTTGTTGTGACAACCAAGAGATTGGTGATCAAACTATATATATTGAGGCAAATGAATATACTTGTATGGTTTCCTAGCTGAAAGTTGCAGCAGTGGCTGAGCTTACATTGAACAAATATGCATGTAACAACAACATTTGATCTGCTACTGTAACTCACCGGTGGTTACAAATATCTCATTAGCTTCCATATTAAAATGAGCAATCTATAATTATAGTAACACACCAAAGCTGTAATTGGAGTTGGAGCATAATAATTTTACAGCAAGGTGAATTAAAACTTTCAATTTGGAGAGCTGAGAACAACCTTGAAAAATTGTCCACACATTAATTAAGTCATACCCAAGAACCTAACAATGTAATAACAGTGCTACTCGTGGTAAATCAGAAGATATTGTCGGAAAAAGAATTTTACCATCCAAAGATCACGCCAATTAATTAGTGATTATTTATACATTTAGGAGGCAAAGAATTATCCATTTCGTTTTCTAGTTAAGGAATCTTCTCGTTATTATAAATCAAATATATCATGCCCCTGAGATTTTTTCCATCAGAAACTATGCGGAGATTTTTAATCTCGTTACTCCATACGTACTCGATCGACCCTGGCAATTAAATATTATGACCAATCCCGTTTACACGTCGATGAAACGAAAACTAAGGAGTTTTTAGCTACGACTTTTGATACGGGTAACCCAAAAATTTCCATGGTCAAAAGACAGTCACAGTTCCAAAAGGCACAACCTTACCTTAGTTAATTTCTTTTCCAAGGGGCAGTTTGCTCTCTGAGAAGATTTTAATATCGACACAACCCTTGGCAGTTCCCCATCTTGAAATTTCTCCGGGACACCCTGGTTCTCCTTATCACCTACTTCCTGGCTAGGCGCCCTGAAATCCATTTACGATGAGGCGTTAAAATTTATAATGTGTAAAAACATTCAGCAAACAATAAAACAACAGTAAAATTCAAAGGTTTACCATTTCGCGAACCGTTGGCCGCCTTTTCTA